AGGCAGTGAGCAGACACCAATCTCTCCTTTGAAAAGCCCCTAAAACTCCCTAGATGTGTGGTGCAACCAGATGTGTTATGAAACCTAGGTGAAAAATTAGAAGCACACAAAATATGTGATAAACTCAAGGCAAAAACCACGTCTAGGTAACCCCGACTTAGGACATATGTGTGACCCACAATGAACCACATATCTTATTGCTAGTGGGATGGGCTACATGTGTCGCTGTAGTAGTTCTTTGTAGGCCTTATCATTAGCAATGTGGACTATGACTATGACAAAGCAATGTCATAGTGTGTAACTTACTGATGTTGCCGTTCTCAGATGTAACGCTTCCAACCCAAAGACAGAGATCAGATTTCTAAAGATACTGGTAACAAAAGGCTGTGATCATAAAAACTAAAAGAAAAAAAGGAGTGGGGGTTGACTTATGTAGGAATTGTCCAACAATGGAGTTGTTGGGACGGAACCCCATTGGAAGTCGGGGGCGCTACCCATCCAAGACCATGTGCTGAGACACATCCTGGGTGTGTGTGGTATGAGGTGAGCTGTAAAGTAACAGATCAAGGGCAGAGCACACCGTCTGGGAGCTCCTCACCAGGATCACACCGATGCTGTTCAGCTCAATCAGGCTCCCGTTTATGCTGGTGGAATTGGTCTGCAGCAGGCTGGAGATCAACCTAATCACGTGCAGCCGGGTGCTGCCCACAGGCGGGTCCAGCACACCCCACGTGGTCTTCATCACACTTTTCTGAGGGAAAACAAAAAGCTTTCCGATTAAATCCAGTGAAACAGAGCTGTGCTGGGACCAGACACTCGCCAACCGAGGCGACTACTGCACCCAGGCAGACATCTGCCGTCCTCACAATGAGCCGCCACAGCCAAGCCGAGAGAGAAAGGCAACCCCCGCACTACAGGTTTTACAGGAACACCCAGTCTCCCTTCACCTCAACACCCAAATGGATGGGAGCTGCAGGTACAACATTCCAAAACCTGACCAAGAATCAAGTCACTAAAAGAAGTTACAGGCAGTCTGGGAACATAGTCCTCAATCTCTGCCAAACCTCTGAGTGGAAACACAGATTCCAAGTGGCCTCTGATCCTCACCCCGAAGTGCCAGCCTCCTTCTCGGCCATCAGAGGGGGTGCCTACAGCTTGAAAGCACAGGTGACAGATGAGAACGTTTTAGGATCTAGCAGTTTGACAGGAAAGAGTGACAAAGTGACTAGTTACATTGCCCCTTATAAAGATCCCCCACCCAATCA